TACTTAATACGCTTGTTAAATACAATTAAACTGTACCATATAATATTTCAAAGTAAAAAATATAAAAACAATTGGAAATTTCTTAAAAGTATTTTGTTATTAATTTAATTAAATACTTAATAATAGATAATATTGTCCTATAATACTCCGTCACCACACACTACTGTGTTTCGACCCGATTGGACTGGCTTCTGTTTTATAACTGTTAATAAACACATATTTCTTTGGAATTTCATTAATAATATTTATATTTTGGTTACATTTCATAACACTACATTATGATTTCTATTAGTTGAATCAAACGACTCGATACGTCTTAGGATTTTAAATGTATACTTCAATAGTATATTTATTTATTTATTGAAATGTGCATAGTGCTTACATATAGCATAATTTAATTTAACAAAATGAATAATTAATACAAACCATTCATTAAAAACGTTATAATGAATACAGAAAAATTACGTATAAGTAATAGTTTATATATATAAGGTATAATTTAGAATGCATAATGACTGGGTAATAGTTATAATAAGTAATAGTGATATATAAATGTATTACTTATAATAACTTTAAAGTAACAGCTAAATTATTATAACACTTCAGATTTTTTGAGAAAATCGTACCTGTATGTATGGTATAGAGCCACACTTGATCTTAATCCATTTCATTCTAATTTTCAGAGCTTAAGTCTTAAACTACGCTTAAAAAAGTTAATGAAGAAACATTGTCTAATACTTCTAGGGGTTCTTAGGGAGAGTCTAAATTGAATATGCGTATTACACGTGCTACTCCGATTGAATTAAGTTAAATCAATATATTAGGTTAGGTAAAAATACTTTATCGTTCCTAATTTCCTCTAAAAACAATGCCGTTAAATCTAATATACTACAATATGATAGTTTCCTACTACACAATTTTTTTTGGAACTACTTGCAGTTTGCATTTTTGTTATAAGCTTTGTAATAATAAAAATAAAAAAAAATAAAAGGGAAGATTGATAAGAGAGAGATGGTAGGTTAGGTTAGGTTAGATGAGAGAGTAAATATGTTTTTTTCTCCTCAAGGTGTTGGTTGTCGGCTATTCTTACAGCTCTTGTGGCCATTGTGTGGAATAACCCAATTTTTGTGAAGGGCAATGTTGTGACTCAGCATGTGCTTATCAGTATGGGTTTTCTTCCTGTTTACATACCCCTATACTACAATTTTCTACTGGGTTCCTTTTAACCAGTGTTGAATTCAGACGTTTTTTCTAAGAGGGCTATAGAGAGGTCTCATAGGAGTGGTGTAATAAATATAATACAAATTCAACAGATTAACTGTATTTAATTTAAAAGTAAATAAATATATATATGTGTAAAAACTAAAAGATAATTGCACCAAGTTGGTAATTTAGCTTACAACTTAGCTAATAAAATCTTAATTATGCTCATATTAATTGTAACAATGAGCGTGTGATTATCAAATTTGATTAGGTGCATGGTATTCTCAAAGGTAGGCATTTTTTTAGTTCTTCCTCTCCATGTTGCCATTGTATAAATGTGTCATCCACATATCGTAGCCACATTTTTGGTTTCAAGTTGCTATATTGTAATGCCTGTTCTTCAAAACATTCCATAAAAATGTTAGCAAATACTGGCGCTAGTCTTGATCCCATAGCTATTCCGTCAGTTTGTTCATAAGTTATGCCTTTGTAAGTAAAAACTGTTGATTTGGTACACATCTCTAGTAATTTATATAGATGTACCTCTAACCATTTCTTCTCCGTTTTAATCTCTAACGTGGCTTCTACTGGAACCATTGTGAACAATGAGACCACATCAAAACTGACAAGGATGTCTCCATGTTCCCATTTAGCATCTTTTATTTTTTCCACAAAGTGTGTAGAGTTTGTAAGAAGTAGTTTTCCCTACTTTTTTTTAGTATTCTGGCCAAGTGTCCCTTTAGATTATAAGTTGGAGAATTGATTGCACTGAATATGGGTCTTAGTGGTATATTTTCTGGTTAGGTGAGGAAAATATACCACAAAAGTATTGAAGTTTTTCAAATTTATAACTGTATTAAGTTGGTAATTGTGAAAAGAAAATAATTACCATCATTTGCCGATATTTTAACAAGTACAAATGTTAGTAAAAAACAGAAAAGTTTCATTTTGATTTGCAAATAAGAATAAACATTAAATCAATTTATATTAGTCACTGCAGCCTCCGGTGACAAGTTGAGAAGGTTTTGATTTTAAAAAACTGTTTAATAAATGATATATATATATATTTATATACATTTTTTACTAGACAACAATACTTCCTAGAACGTGAAACTGATTTTTTTGTATAGAATGGTAGAAATCGAACTTAAAAAGTACTTTATTCATTTCCTCTAAATATATATAATAAGCAAAAGAAATTGTTTTTTAACGTTGGATTTGAATACACATTGATGCACACGAAAATTGTATTTTTTCAATACAACCTAAAGTACTATTTTAAATTTATATACAGGGTGATTATTTTATCACGAACCTCTAAACATCTCATAGGGTCTAATAAGAAATTAAATTTTTTTCATTTTGTTTTTATACAACGTGATCTCTATTTTTTTTTGTTTCCCCCCTCCCAACTTAGTTTTTTTGATACTTAAATGGTTGCTATCAAAAAACAAATTTGGGGGGGGGGGGGTAAAAACAAGAAAAAATGTGAAAAATTGAGCTCACATAGTATAAAAACAATATAAAAAAAAATTTTAATTTCTTATTAAACCCTATGAGATATTGAGTGGTTCATGATAAAAGAATCACCCTGTATATGATCGGTTTGGATGATAATTGATAAACATTGCAACTACATTTAAATGTTGACACTTGACTCCTAAAGGGTTTCTCAGCTTAACGTTTTTCTTAATTTTTATTTTCCAAGGTCGATTTTAAGACTTTATTTTATTAGCTTTCAGTGTTAACTTTTAAACTATAACAGTTCAATTATAATTCTTATAGTTATGCGATTTGGGAATAATTTTTGTGTAAAGTATAAAAACATATTTTTTTTAATATTTGAACAATACACGTGCACATTATGTTTTACTTTTTGACTACATCATCAGATGTTTGAGAGGCCCTCGGTTGTTTTCGATTCCTCCTAAAGTCTATTTAAACTATTTATACAATCTTCATTTCTGATATCCCATTTTATATATTTAATTATTATATTAAATACAATTGAAATTCATATAGTATGTATATTAGCATTGATTACATTTACTCCAATAAATGTAAATGTAGTTAAATAAGTTGAATGTAAATTTATTTCATAAACATAAAAATTGATAATACATAATTAAATGCAATTATATATATTATATTATTTGCATTCATCAACAAATGTACATTAAAAAATGAATTTTTTATTTGAATATTCATTTGATAATAATATAAGACTACAGGTATACAGTTACAAACTTTTTAAAATACCATTTTTCTACAATAAAAAAATACTGCGGGATGCTTGGGGGTGTTGTCAATAAGTTTTTATCAAAGTTACAGAGGGTTAAAGTTAAAATTGAATAATTATTAAATTGAGTTTTGTGTTTTCCTGATTTTTAGGGCGAAGGATTGATATTTTTTTAACATTTGAAGCATTAAAGTCACATACTTGTAATACATTTGCTTTGTTAATGAAAACTAGTGTGAATAAATAAATATTTGGCTCAGTGTAATGTCAAATAATTTTGTCTTTTCAGAATATTCAATGTATAAAATCGTTACCCTTGAATTTAATTTTTTTGCATTTGTGTGAGCACTTGATAATGTAACTTGATATATGTATATAAAAAATCGAAGGTTATCAAAAATTATAGATTGACAATATTGTTATAATTCCTGTAGATCTGTGATTTCCCTCTTCCCCCCAAATTTCCCACTGTACTGGCTATTTTATTTCTTGTATTTCAAGCGCCATTTTATTCTTTAAACGAGTATAGCTTATTTTATTAGCAAGAAAACGGTTTTTAAAACATATGTCATTTGGTTGTGTGTTTGTTTTGAGTATTTGAACTATTTGCTTGCACAGTAATACTTTACAATTACACACATTTTAGCGAATATCCATTTTGTATATTCGTATTGTTAATGTGTTTTTACAAAAACAATATTGTATAGTTTTAGCAATGTTGCCTTTGTTGACTTAAATCGCCGTATTGCTTAAGTTACCTGCAAATGTACAACTGGTAAAACACGATATTTTATTTATTTTTTTATTAGTTTTTATAAAATGCTGACTTAAGGGAAACACAATATCTGTGATTTTAAACCAACAGCTGTGTTAACACCATATATGTTCATAGATGTTCTACAGACACTACAGGTTGAATCGACAAACACAAATGTTTTAGTATATTTTAAGCTCTAGCAAAAATACAACGTCACTTAAACAATAACAATATGATTAGTAATTTTAGTTTGATTCTATTGTGTCTTTCCGGCGTCTATTGCATATCGTCTAAATTTGACAATTTAGATTTGAATGGACTAAAAGACATTTATAACCGCCAAAACCCAACTAAGGAATGGGACGAAGCTATGAACCAGCAAATATTTTACAGCGTTATCGATAGTACTAAAACTCCTGTTGACGTTAAGGACACTGTGGACTATTTTATGCAAATTGCTGACGACAGTACTGTGGAGGAATTTGAATCGATCCGCAGCATAATCAAATCAGCTTATCAATGTACTTTAATGAGGTACGCTAGCATAACCGCTTATTTAATATTTCAGGAGCTGTGGGAGCACAAATGCAACATCAACTGGGCCTTAAATCATATGGAACTACATTTTTCGAATTTCGACATTAATACATTACATAAAAATGGACATTTTAAAAAAATATATGATTCGATACAGTGGGTCAGGAATATAATAGACTTTGACATTAAACTAGAAATAGGCGTCCATAAAATATTAGCAGTTCACCAATTCGATAGTAAGCCAAAGCAGGATCTTCACAAATTATGGGCAGGATTCATCGAGAAGAATATCGGTTTAAAATCAATTACAAAATCTATACTGAAGTAATAAAAACGAGGTTTACAAACCAATATAACATACCGTTTATCGACACTCTTAACGAACTCGCCTGTGTTCTAAATGAGGTGATTCAGTTGTTGGACAGTTTCAACAAAAACAAGTGCGTACCACACGACAGCAGTTTTGAAAAGAACTTCGAATCCCTAACAACAGGAGTCCGCGGAGATTTCATGGGGCTTCTAGTGCATTTTGATGAAATGAAGGCCAAAGAGGCCAACTATGATGGGCAGCATCTACAACACAAGTATTAAAAATACTTTTCTAATTTTGTCTTTCAAGTAACATGCATCTTGTATTTTGTAACTTTAAACTTAATCTTAAGGTACAAAATACAAAACACATTAAACATCATCTTTTGTGTCTCCCAAATATCCACCTCGTGATCTGAATAGTATGTATTTTGTACTTTGTGTTTCTTGTTTAGTCGAGAAAGTACCGCACCTGTGCCATACTTGGAGGGAAGAGACCTTAATTCGGAAATGTACAGAGATTTTACAAAATCGATTCCGGGAAAACAGCCAGCGTATTCCGATATTATGGCTTCGGGTTGCTTCGTAGAGAATTTGGAATTTGAGATTTCTGGTTTTAAAACGGATTTTGAAAATACTACCGAAGCAACTCACATTTATGGCCTTAACAGCTATGGACGGTATGATATAAAATATTATTACATGCTATTATATAAATAAAGAATTTAAAAAACTTCCCGGGAAGAAGAATGAATTAGTCGAGATACTTTTTGATCGGTGGATTGGAAGAGAATGGGGAGAGTCTAGAAGGGCAAACACGAGATAGATGGATTTGGGTACATTGGTTGCATTTTTTCAAATCCTCTTTAACTTTTTAAAACCATCGCTGTTGTTTAGACTACTTTGAAGATTTTCTCTATTTGGTTTGGTATCCTGACTCGATTAGGAAGACTCTTGATATGTCCACTTGACTTTCATACATGGCCTACGTGGCCAAATAATAATAATATTATTTCAATGTGTGACTATAATTAAATTTTACAATATTGTAAAAAAACATAGACAAATAATTTGTTTAAATAGAAAACTATAAAACTGTAAATACTTTGAGAGACGCTCTATCATAAAGTGTTTATTATTATTATATTTTAGCGCATCCGAAATTAAAATGAAACTTGTAGAAAACACCTATTATGAAGAAAAAATAGGTATGATATTGTTTCGCGATAAAGATAAACCGTTCAATGATCTTCCTGAAAGCTCCGGCCATGTAAGTATAATTAATAGTATTCAAATTAAGTAGGAATGAAACAGAGTAAGCACGTCTGTTAACAAAGAATGAGAATACAGAAATATGAAGTATACAGAAACTGTACAATAAATTACCTTTGCAACCTATTTTTTTCCTTAATAATTTTCCCAAATAAATTCAACGCAGTTAGAGAACGGTATGTCTTGTAGAGTTAAGACCCTTCAAACCCTTTTAAATAATCCTAACCTACTCCAATCTATCATTAGTGGCTTCTTTAAGGTTTAAGGTTTTCTTACATTTTTTTTCCCATAAGCTCACTTAGTGAAAATATGTTTAAAAGCATTAATTAAAGTGTCTATGTACAAGTTATGAGGTAATCAATTGCATTGCAATAATTACAAGTTAAATATTTCATAATTTTCATTCCTTTAAAGTACTTTTTTTGATTTACATAGCATTATTTTAATAAAATGTAACGTGAAAATAATAAGAAAAGTAGCTAATAAAATATATTCGGTTTTTACCAGGAACAACCAAAAACCAAAGTCATATCCATTTTTTTAACACTTTATGTATGTTTTTTTCAGACTATTCTAGACAACATACCTACGTGTAAAATAAATTAACAAGGTATGTTAATTATTACTTATTTTTCTTGAAATGTTTTCAAAATAACCTTAACAACGGTATAATGTTTATCTTGTAGAGTTTAGACCCTTCAAACCCTTTTAAATAAACCTAACCTACCCTAATCTATCTTTAGTGGCTCCTTAAAGGCTTTAACTTTTCTTACTTTTGTTTATCCATAAACTGGTGCATGTTAGTGTTGCAAAAATAGTAAGCTACAGGAAAGTTCTGCAGTAATTAAAATAATAATAAAGGTTGGTAGTAAAATATAAGTATAGTTTTTACCAGGAACAACCAAAAACCAAACTCATATTCATTTATAACAATTTTTGTACTTTTTTCAGACTCCAAAGACCAACACGGAGAAACTAGAATTTGATATCAAAAATATACATGTCTAACATGTCTCAAATATTAATCGAATATATTATAATCTAATGTAAAAATTACAGAAATTATTGTACAATAAATTAATGGGATTTAATTTTCTTTAAAAATTTTTCCAAAATAATCTCAACAACGGTTGTCTGCTAATTGAGTTTAGACCCTTTAAAGTTTAAAACTATTGAAGCAAATCTAACCCGACATACCCTATATTTTTTGACTTTTTAAGAGCTAGATATTTTTATCAATAAAATCGTATTGTGCAAAGCATTTGGTATTGATTTTAAGTCGTTTTCAAATGTATTGCTATTTCCAAAACAGCAATTAATTATATTGTTACACCCTGTCATGCCAACTCTTTTATTACTCAATAAATGTTTTGCTAAACGTTATTAGGGTATGTTTGTGGAAGAAGAAGTATTGTTTTTAAATTTTTGACCACCAAAGTAATGGATTGAGCGCTGCTCAAAGTTAAACCCATTTGATAAAAATTTCATATTTAACGAGTTTCTCGTTATCTATTTTTATGTGGCTCACCTTGTCTGAGGATATATGTTTTACAACCACATCCAATTGCCCCGCCTCCTCAACATCTAGAAAAAAGTAAAGACATTGAGGAGTTTACATATCCCCTCTTCCATTTTTAGTTGTTGTAGTAACTATACTGAAGAACAGTACAAAATCGCCAAGTTACCAATCAAGCAAATCACTAGGACATGATATCATCACAAACAAAGTAATAAAACATCTTTATGCTTATGCTCTTCAGCTTTGATGTTTATTAGTAAATACAGCACCTCAATTAAATCGGTCATTTCAAAAACGACACAAGTCACAATATTGAAATTTTACACTAGCCAAAAAAAACGTCATAACTTTATAACTAGTTTTTGCAGTCATTCTAATTTCTAGTACTCAACATTTGTATTTGCATTAACCGTGGAGTATATAAATTATCTTTTTCACAGTTATTGGTTTTTAAATCACTTGTTGAACTTATGTTTACATTATACAGTTTTAACAATTTTATATCTTCTTTTTTTGTATATAGGTGTAATATATTATTAACAATGTTTATCAAACTTAGTTCTTAATCATACACGAATTAACTATAAGAATATACCACACATTATAAGACAAATATATAACATGTATAAATATAATAAATGACAGTCATACACTAGATAGAAACTCTTAATTAACTCACCAATCAACGCACTACATATCCCTCCACAATACTTAATTGACGAAGAAGCCACACCCGCTTCTTACCACATAAAACCGCCTGAAACAAGGCATTCGTCGTCCAGTCTTCGTACATAGCTTAACTTCTCTACAACTTTCTAGTTGAAGAAGTTAGGCCTTGTCCGATTGATCCTTCTTTTTAGTTTAAATTATATTTTATAAGTTTCTATCTAGTGTTTATGCAAATTATTTTATCAGCACAAAATCAAGAGTTGTTATTTATTTAATTTCTCTCTTTCCTTATATTTTATTTATTTTTTCTTTTATTTAAATAATCGCAGTCTGGTTAAAAGCAACAATATATCGACAGTAGATGTCTTGGAAGTTTTAGCAGCCTTGAGTATTCTGTTGCCTTGAAAGCATTAGCAGTCTTGCGCATTAATACCTCGGAAGCTTTTACAGCCTTGTGTCGCAACAGAATATTGTGTGCCGTCTAATCAGAAAGCAGATTAATATAACTTATTAAAGTGTCTAGAGTCAACGATCTAGTGTACAGTACGGTTGAACGTGGTGATAATCGACTTACGTCGTAGCTGGGCGAATCGATACAGTCACTAGATTAGAGGGACTTTAGACGGCTGTACAGTCTTGACCCCTATGGACTTCGAGAGCCGTTAAGTCCTTGATAATACAGCTAATATCGTAAAAAAACTGATATATATATGATCTTAATTAATATAGGTAAATTTGCATAAATACACATAAATCAAATCGGTAAGAAACATCGTTACCTTATAAGGACGATAAGTGTAGAGTCATACGACAATACGTTATTTAATAGTGTTAAATTAAATCGGCGTATTAAAGATACTCTTCTGCATCGCTGGACCAGAACAAGGTAAGTGCAAAAATTTGATATAATAACAATATAAAAGTAATAATAGAAATTAATAGGGAGATAGGACTAACTAACAACATATACATAAATCTCACATAACAAGTATTAAACTTGTGATCCACCAATCTTTCTAATAAAAAAAAATATCCTTTCTTCCACGCCGGTTCTACTACCATTTTCTTATTATTACATAGGTATTTACCATTTTTTCTTCACAGTATTAAAAAAAAAAATATATTACACGATTTAACTATATAATTTTGTACTTTATTTATCGTCTTATCGATATTAACTATTATGAACTGAAAAAAAACTTTTACCCAACTAAAAGTCACCAAATGATTTATTTACTAATTAATAACAATTAAAAAAATCCTAAAATCGAATAAATTTGTATTTTTTTGGATATTTCACAAATAATATTTATATTTTATCTTTTAGTTCTGCCCAACTACCCCATGAGTTATCATAAAGATATAATACATTTTGTACATGTATAGTTTTAGCTTCGATGCAAAGCGAGAAAGTATTGGTTTTACTCTGATGTGTTTTTTTTTTATCTGTATACACTGTAACTTTTTTAATATTGGACAAATTCCTTCGAATTGCAATTTTATAAATCGCAAATTTCATCTAGTTGGTACTTTAAGGGGGGGGGGGAGTTGAAAAAGTTTACTTCTTCAAAGACGAAATTTGAAAAAACAAAAAAATAATCATACGAGTTTTTAAGTTAGAACTTTTACTGGCTATAGTTTCGAGAAAAAGAGTTGGATCGAGTTGAAATTTATAAGAAATATTTATTTGGTATGCCCACGCACGTCAGTTGTATCAAATTTAAATTAAACCCATTTCCCACCCCCCTAGATAGGGTTCAAGTTTTTTTAGTTTTTAGCCGTAATTTTAAGACCCTTAAGTTGGAAATTTGTCAGTAGTTAGAACTCATATGTATTTATAACATCTTAAACGGAAAACAAATTCGGCATACATGTTAGGTTAGGTTAGGTTAGGTTAGGTTAGGTTAGGTTAGGTTAGGTTAGGTTAGGTTAGGTTAGGTTAGGTTAGGTTAGGTTAGGTTAGGTTCCCCTCCAGGGGATCCACCTTGTCGTGGTGGAGGGGCTCACCGGCTCGAAACTGAGTCGGTGCCAAGGTTAGGTTAGGTTAGGTTAGGTTAGGTTAGGTTAGGTTGACTGGTAAAGTCCTATCCCCACCTCCACGCGGTGCCAGTTGGTAACGGTCCTTAATTGGGTCGGCTAACGGGGAAGGCGACTTAGAGCCGGCCCTTACTTTAATTAGTTGGGGTCGGCGAGGCAGGTGGTTCGCCTTTGGACAGAATAAAGGACCACAACCCGGCGGCGGGCATACCGCAAGGGGAAGGAGACCCCACAAAACCACCATGGAAGACAACTTATTAAGTATAGTCCATACCGCACCAGTCGCCATTCGGATGACGGAGACAGGTGACGTCGGCGGGGGTTCCAGTAGCCCGGCTCCCGTTGACGCCGAACAAGGGCGAGCGAAGTGGAGGCCCCACACCCATTTGGATGTACCTTGCGATGCGGCTTGCTTAGCCAATTCGCAAGGGTACATAGACGAGAACAACCCAGAGAGAGGGAAGAATACAGAGGGAAAAGAAGTTTGTAACCCGAAGGACATCATCCTAGAGAAGGAAGACAGAACATGGAAGGAACTAATCGAAAATTTCAAGGCTATTTCAGAAGTTGCACGCCAGCAAAACTGCCACAAGTCAGTCAAGCAGTCAGTACGAAAGATCGACCCACTACTTAAGCAATTGGAAGGCTACCGAGGAAATTTCCGAAAGGACTTTGGGAAGGGCGAAGGCCCGACCAAACGGAAGGAGAGAGACGATAAAACGCCGAGCCCGACGAGGAAAATCTTGCCCTGGAGCGCGGTGACCAGTATTGGGAGAACCCCACCTTTTAGGGGTGGAAAATTTTCGGTGGCATCAACCTCCATTCTACGCCGACACCACGAGTCAAACTGGAATGAGGACGTTCTAGCTGACCAAGAGAAGACGTTCCGAGACCAGACTCAGGAGATCGTCGATCGGCTGGAAGCGATGCATGAACTACAACAACAGCAAATTGCGGAAATGAAAAAAGTACAAGAACAGCTGCAAGAAGAAATAAAGGAACTGAAAAAAGAAAAGCTGCGTGGTCCTGAAAAACGGACAAGAAAACAACGGCGGAACAACGCACATGCCGGAAACGGGTTAGAGAATAAGGAGCCCATCACACTCTATGAAATCACAGAAGAGGAAGGGATAACCCCAACCCGAAGAATAAAACAAGGAAAACAGGTCATACCAATACTGCAACCTGAACTAGGCGTGGAGCCACTTGAGCCACTTGATTTACCAACGGCAGAGCAACACAGTGGTGAAAATATGGAATGGAAGAAAGTCAGCAAACGACGAAAGAAAAAGAACCTCGCCAAGGTCACGCCGGACGCAGTTATCGTAAAATGTACAGAAAATCGAACGTATGCTGACACACTAAAAAACTTGAAGAAGAATCTAAATGACGCTGGGCTAGCAAACGAAGTAGCAACGGCAAGGGAAACAAGGGACGGAAACTTGCTCCTCCAAATGAGGAAACGCACGACCAAAACCTCCCATGTGAAAACAATCGCAGAAAGTACGACCGGAGTTGAAACCCAGGTCAGAACAACGAACGTTGCGGTCGAGATACGCGGCTTAGATGCGGATGTGACAAAAGAGGAGCTTGCCACTGAAATATCCTCCAAGACATCGGCCAAGATGACCAGCGAAAACGTCAAAGCAATTAAGCCCGTTCGCGGAGGGAAATGCACAGCAGTGGTCCTCCTCCCGGCCAGAGTCGCCAACGAATTAGCGACAGGGCCGCGGCTACGCATCGGTTGGGCGCCCTGCACCATCAAAATACGTATACCAATGGTTAGATGCACCCGCTGCCTAGACTTTGGCCACAGAAAGAGGACGTGCACCGGGCCTGACCGCGA